CGCGTTCGTTCCCCACCATAGACACCTGCGGTCCAGAGTTTTGCAAATATCTCAGCAACGTTGTGGTTGCATTTCGAAAAATTTTATAAAGAGAAATATTTAAGTGAACATTAAGTAAAATTGAATACAATGGAGAACATTCTAGAACGTTCTTTGAACATAAAAAATGTCTTTCTTCGTGAATCCCAACCAAAAAACCATTTTTCCTTTTTTCATCCTTCTATGTTAAGTTCGAGAAGTTGATGAATACGAAAGAAAAATGGTGAGAGTGATAGATAAAAGCGATATAAGAAATGTAGTTCAACTTCAAAATGAAATTTAATGAACTTCAAAAACACTTCGAATTCGGCTTGAACAAAACTTTCTTGATTATTGCCCACCGGTGGGTGATGATAGCAGCAATATTACTGATGTAAGTATTTCTTAGAACACTTCATTTTTAATCGAGTTCAGCCTTTCTGTAGACGGACAGCTCTTTAGATGACGTGCATCTGCATCAGCAAACTGAACTCAAGACGGTCGCTGCGAATTCGTCAGACAAGATCTTCATCAAAACCGGTAGTTGTTTTACTAATTAAAAAATATGCTATAGAAAAACTGCAGTGTAGAACGTTCTGGAACTGAACCTGCTACTTTTAATAAGTCAGTTTAGATGAAAAGAAAAAAATCGCCATTGATATTGGCATCGTAGCTTTCTGAGCAATTGAATCGACGTTGCATATTTTCCGTCTTTTTTTCCCTCGTTTGTTTTTTAAGTCAAAAATTTTAGCGAGAATGGCTTTACCGTTCCAAATAATGTGAAGATCTTCCATCAAATAGCGATAACAGACAAACAATTTCTTAATAACAATTGGAAAATAGACAAAAAAGAAAAAAGAAGAAACTGCTCACAAATAAAGAGAAAGGAACGGTTTTGGCGAAATCGCTAATGTTTCCTCCAATGTTGCATTCGAAGAATAGAAACAAAATCAAGAGTTTCCTTTTATAGAAAGTGCTTCAATCATTTCCTTACGCTTTCGGGATGCGTTGTACTTGTATTTTCCTTTACGCCTAAAATAAATGAACCACTGTATTCATTATTCATGAAAATGTTTTCAAATCTCGATCTCAGTCTTGTACGATCACCGTATCATACAGATAAAGCCGATATCAAAACGGTTAGCGCATCAGTAGATGGCCATGGTAATCGGGTAACGCCACTACAATCGGCCGCCAATTCATCGAAGGTAATTCTACTATTGTATCTGCATTATTATCATTTTTATTGCTGTTACTATCACTGCTATCCGCAACAGGTTTTTGTGTACGTAAAAACGATCTCTGAATCAACGCCGTCAACTTTGATTTTTTGCAACCAGTTGCACCAAGTGCAGAACCACCCTATTGCCCACCAGAGCAATCATGGACTTTGCTTTGCTTTTCCCTTGCTTGAGCGCCAATAAGGAACATGACAACTTCGGAGTGCAGCTCAGATTCCGAGTTTCGTTCATATGTCAGCGCCCTTGTGGTCGTACTTCATATAGTAAACTGCAATGAAAAAAGAATGGTCGCTAAATAAAAGTGAAGATACTGTTATTTCGACTGCACCTTCAGATCAAATGTGCTCAGTGCCGATTTATGCCTCATAGATCATTCCCGTTAATGGATGATTGCTGATGGCACCGTTAGAGCAGAAAATTGGCTGCAAGAGACGCCAAGCAAGGATCGGTTGCTGCATCGGATAGAGCGTCAGCATCCGCTAGGGGTAATAGCGGGTTCGGATCTCTACTCAGATTCCGAGTTTCACTCACACCTCTTACTTGGAATAGCCGGACGGCCCGTCTTCACGCGTTGTGCGGACTTCAGCACGTTTCCATTCGTCTCTGTGCTTCGCAGTCGTCGTCCGTGGTTGTGGTCTGATTCGAGCATACTGGTCGGTACCATGTCTCACGCCGTGATCTCTAGAACAAGTGCAGCTGCGGGTACAGCTGTTTGACTTTGGTTACGAACAGGTCCGCACATCGTGTAGGTGGTTGTCCTAGGAGACGTCTGGATTCTTGTGGAGTTCACTCTACAGTTCTTTTCGTCTATTTTTTCTTTCGTCTGTCGCCCGTTCCTCATGATTAACCCATTTGTGCTTCTCTACCGAACTGTGTTCTCATGGATCCCGAAGGGGGCAAAGAATAGGCAACAAATATAAGTGAAGACGTCAATGAAAATATTATTGTTGTGTATTTTTTAAACAAGACTCACTTTTGTGTATTATTTCGATTTCTTCGATAATTCATTTGCTTTTTAGGCTCTACCAGTCCATAATGGCCTGCCTAAATTGAATGACCAATCATCACAATTTGAAACCGCCAATAAATCAATGAATACCGAAAAGGTGAACATCTGAACTACAGTTTACGATAGATCGACCGAAAATTCGATTATTGATTCACATGACAATTCGAGTGGTTCTCAAACTCCAGAATCAGCAATGGTTTAGATGCATTCAAATACTTGGCATAATTCGGTTTTAAATGTTACGTAAAAGAATAAAAGGATAAAGATCTCGACGTTGATCAATTCCTGAGGAATGCATCATGCATTCGACTTCACTAAGCATCGTTTCGAGGTGATTGAATGCATATCTGGCCTTTACAATGTGGCCTCGCGGTGGCCTACCGATGTATCGAACTAGTGCTGCTGCTCTCCCAGACAAGTCTGGTATAAATTTGTCGAGCCCGGAGGGATTGAAGACTTGGTGGGTGATGGGTGCAGGGATCGATTCCATGTGCGTTCTGCCGGGAGCCTAGGGCCACTGCGCCACAGGAGCCCTAAATGTTACGTACTTATCAAAAAGTAGTTCGCCGTAATTTCGATATGTTACTTAAATGGCCGCAGCTATTTAAATACCTTCACAGTAAACCATGTTTCGTGCCGGTAACTAATCAGTAAATCGACCAATCAGTCAGTCAATCAGTTGTAATTGCCAATCGAATCCAGAAAGCTTTGCAAAGGACTCATCGATCTACTTGTGCTAAATTGCAAGCAAGAACTCGTACAACTGAAAATAAAGTGAATCATTTGATTATTATGGTGATTACGTGTGATTAAACATATGTAGTTCTTTACTCTTTAGACAAGTTGTTTATTTTTGTATACCTAACCATAGGTTTAAGCATCCATGTTGTAATAGTACTTTCTTTTTGAGATAACTTCTCATCGGATATGCTGTGTGGATCGGAGCACTTCTCGCATTCGATTCGTTGTCCTCGCATTCACAGCCCACGAAGGTCTTAGAACATTTCGTGGGTTGTTTCGGCCGTCTTCTAAGGATTTCGTCATCTTTATGAATGTCGTGTAATGCTGGTCCAGTCAATTCTCCTTGTAGTCTTGGAAATGGCCGAGCTGAAGTGCTAACACGTTGACTTGAAGAGAAAACTGAAGAGTGGGTCGAACCAAAACCCTGCTACCTAATAACTGCATCACTGGCCTCTTCTCATTGTAATAATAGTAGCAATAGTAATGAGAACAATTTTATTAATCGTACTAATTACTGTTTAGTTGTCGATACTCAATGTTGAGCAGGAGGAGCCGTTAGACTTATCATGGCCAGAAACTCCACTGAAGCGTTTCATTTTCGTTCTACTAGCACCGATCACATTTCCATTATCCTTTACACTTCCGGATGTTCGAAACCCGGTAAGTGAAAAAAAATCATTTTTTATCGCATAATTCTTTCTCTTGACATTAAAAATATCGATTTACTAGCAACAAAACCGATAAGGGTTTCTGAAACGCTAACTATTAGCTCTAAGAAACTCTAGAAACTCCTTCCTCTTTTTGGTACCATATGATCCTATTTGATGTTTGCTTGTGCAGATGATATTCAACTAGGATTTTGAAAAGTAACTTCCTGCTTTGAAATTTTCATAAGTTGACTTTTTATTTGCCGCCTATTACTTTTTTTCATGGCAAGGTATTATGTGAAATACAAAACTGGGCGAGAGGTAAGCAGAGGAAGGGCTTAAATGATGCAAAAGGTAACAAATGAGCACCTCGAAAGTGATCGCTGGTTCGAAACAGGCCTGGGGTCCGAATTTCACAAATATCTCAGCATTATCGTCGTTGTATCTCGTAACTTATTTGTTAACTATACTTTTTCTAATCGATGTGGGAAGAAACACTCAAAAAATTAGGAAAATACAGAAATTCAGAAAAAATTTTACGATACATAAACAACTTGTACCTATTTGAAAGGACGGAGTTACTGTACCGTAAGCATGGAGTTAAAATCAATACCTATTTTCTAGATACTGGTGCGGTTAGTTTTTTGGCGATTGGAAACGTAATTAGATCGTAGTACGTTGCAGTACTATTAAAGTAAATAGTTTTTCTACACGGATCTCCAATGGACATTTAGGCGAGGCGTTCGTTGTTTGCGATCACGTTCATCGGATCGGTGCTGTGGATTGCGTTGTTCTCCTACTTAATGGTTTGGTGGGCAAACACCATCGGTGAGACGTTCACTATTTCAACCGAGGTTAGTACTAGTTTTTCCAATGTTGATGTACAATTCGAAGTCGTAAATGTAACGAATTCCTTACAGATTATGGGATTAACAATCCTAGCAGCAGGAACCAGTATTCCAGATCTGATCACAAGGTATACGACACGAAAAAAAAAATGCAAAAATGGAAAGTACAGCCGTAAAAGTAGATAAAAATAAGATACATACATGTATAAAGACTGGATAATAACTAGTAAGAAAAATGTCAGTTTATAACACCTGAACGCGACTACTTTCTTATATTTTACTTGTTCTCTTTCTCTCCTTGGCGCACTGGTTTGTTTTTGGCTCTAACAACAATTATCGTCTCATCGCCACTTAAATTCGAACAATCTGCCTTGATGCTAGTGAAATAAAAAAACAAAAAGGATAAAACTCTCGTTGTTGATCAATCCCTGAGGGATGCGCCATGCATTCGATTTTATTAAGCACCGTTGGAGATGATTGATTGCATATCTGGCCTTCCAATGACTCGCGGTGGCCTACCGATCTATGGAGCCAGTGCTGCTATCCTCCGAGACAAGTCTCGTACCAATTTGCTGTACCCAGAGGAATGGAAGGCTTGGTGGGCTGTGAGCGCGGGGATCGATTCCATGTGTATATTGCAGAGTCCCTCCTACCATACCACTATGCCACACGCACCACCGGTGGAATAAATGGAGTAAAAAAGTGGCAGTATTGTCGTTTCCTTCAAGTCAACGATACAATGTGGACTCGAACATAAGCTTACTGTTGCAGCAGTTCTCGTAAAACGTTTTTAAGAGTTACAGTAAACCAGAAGTTTTTTCAGATATAGTGAAGATTCTTTCTTGATATAAAGTAGTGTTTACCTTTCAGTTATGTCTCCCAATGGTAGACGAAGTTTCTTAAATAATATCCATAACATTACTATAAGAGTGCTTGCTTTTTCCTTCTTCATAGTTTTGGATTAAACAATTTATGATGTCGTTCACTAAGTGGTTTCCCTTCCATTTTCTCAAGAAGTTCTACCTTACAGCGTGATCGTCGCTAGAAAAGGTCTGGGTGATATGGCTGTGTCAAGCTCAATCGGTAGTAATCTCTTCGACATCTGTGTAGGGTAAGTAAAACATCACTAAAGATTTTTTAGGTCAGTTCCTACCGTCTACAGTATTCAATCAGTTGTTCAGTACGCATTTGAGTACTCAATGGACCGAATCAAAATTGTGACGGTCCTTCATAGACTACCGATCAGCATATCTGTAGTTAAATTTAGAAAAAATCACATACTGTAGCACCAAAAAGTGGTGTCACCGTCATCTTTAATACCCATTTGTTCTTTGTTATTAATTTTGAAATAATTTTTCAGACTTCCGATTCCCTGGCTGCTTTTCTTCATAGTCGCACTGTTTTGGAAAACCAATGATGCTTTTCCATCAGGTGGGAATTACATCGTAGTTTGTGAAGGATACTGTAGAGAGGGAATTTAACTTCGATTCACCTCAATTTCGTTCTGAACCATAGTATGTGCATGAGCTCCAGATTATTCGTAGCTTAAGTGCTCGAGATTTTTTCTTTGAAGTTTCAAAAATGTCTAGAGAAAAACGGGCTCGATAAAGATGAAAAAACTAGGAAGGAGGATTTTATTAGATTTTCATCTCCTTGTTAATTCCCTTCCACTCTCAATCGTGTTGATAGGTCTGTTGCAAAAAAGATTCAACTCCATTCAGTCGCAGTTCTCAGAACTACTCAGAATTAAGATGAGCTGTTTCAGCTATCGAATCGGTCTGCCAGAGTTCTTGAAATCTAGCTTTACATTTCTGTGCTACCGTATTCCTAATACTTCTCTTAAAATAGTTTTCCCTTCATTTTTTAGCAAATATAATTTTTTTCTGTCCTATTTCGGGTTTTTCAGTTGCGGTGATCTCGAATGGTCTTATCTGCAGTGTTGGGATATTGTTCATAATGCTCGTCTTTCTGGTTCTCGCCGTAGCACTATCCCGATGGCGAATGGACAAAAAATTCGGTAAACAGCTTATCCTTCTATCTTTGTGCAAATACAGGAAACGATACGTATTCTTTCCTTGATAAGCTTACGGTTTTTGGTTGCAAAAATCGATGATTATATGAAAAGTTGTTTTATAACTGATAGTTTCCGATTTGCTGGCTTTGCTGCCAACCTCTGCAACAGCCACAAAACGGTGCCATCAACAGTCTTCGATAAAAATGATTTCCATAACCTTCTTACTATCGGCACGACTACTAAATAGGCTGCTATCAAAAAGTTTTCCTAACCAATATCAATGTAAATATGCCATATAAAGATGCATTGCATGGGTTCCATATGAGTTCAGTGAAGAGGAAATCACTGCTTTATGAGAGTTTACAAGAAGCAAATTGGCAAGTTGCATGCTCTTCAAATTTCACAGATACCGGTTGTAGTTCGGTAATACTGTTAAACTATATCACCTTTATTCGTAAATCTTTTATGCCTACAATGAAAGGGAAATGATCCCATTCAAAACTATTCACCATCTGTCTCGATTACACTATCCATAAACCAACGAAACATGGAATGACTCGAGCTGGTTTCAGAAAACCCACCATTCATATCTGACTAACACTAAAACCGTGCAGTTGGTTTGATTTGCTGAAGGAAAACGAAATTTGCCACGTTTCTGGAAAAGGCGCTTCACTTTCTCTAAGTTTTTCTCCCTTTCGGTGATACGGTAGCAACTGGTATTGGGGGAGTGTTTGCTCACCTGTGACTGCGGAGTTTTTTGGAATTAGATGTTAGCATACTTGTTAGAAGGGACTCCTAGCCGCCTTCTGCACAATTCCTGATTGTTGGAAAGATATTAGCTAAGTTTTGGTTGATGATGCTCTATAAGGCAAAAGTTAACTTAGTACGGCACAGTGGCCGACACCAACCTTACTATGTCTTTTTATACCAACTTGGTGTGAGTTCAATAATACAAAAAATTTTTGAAGAAATATTTTTTATATGCCCCACACAATTCTGAGACTAATTCTTCGATTTCTCGATGGTCTGAAAGTTCAGGAGTTAAAAAGTGCGAAGGTTAGTATTACAGCATTTATTAACAGACAATAGCTGACGTATCGGCGGTTTCGCCTTCTTCACCGCTTAGAAAGGTTAAATTGACATGCAGTCTACTCAGCGAAACATTTTTATAACCCCAGCAGACAAAACGCACAACAAATTTCTATCTGCGTAATAAACAGCTTTTTTTAAACACTCACTACTTTGCTCGTTGTAAGCCTTCCAGTTATTTGGTGAAGACCAGCCGCACAGAGTACTACATGGATGAGGAATGTGCCTGACTCCGCTTTAGGAATCAGCCCAAGGTATGGCGTGAAGTCACGCGTGATAACAAGACATTTCTCCTTGCTCTTCTTTTTAGATTTTTAGAATTGATCCGGAACACATCAACAGCTTTAAACGCTGGTGTTTTGGATTTCATTGCAAGAATAGTGACTTTTGCTAGAAAATCTACCTGATTAAGTTTCTCTGTCCTATATGTGTCTTAATGCAGTATTTCGTTTCAATTTAAATTTATCTACTAGGTGTCCTTTTATACGGACGCAGAGTGGTCTATCCATTTCGCTACCGTATTCTTCCCCATACGCCTTACAAGAGATTAAGTACATTATATCCGTACTCATACAATCACCGTCTTTACCGTTCGAGAATATTATACAAAATATGCAGTCTACAAATGCACTCAGACAGACGATTACTAACTGGAGTCCTAGAGTGTCCAGTGGTATTTCAGTCACTGTTACCAAATTCTCTAGCCCGGCGCTTCTCAAGCGGCATTTTACATCCGGACATATCTTATTGGACATAAATGGCAGAATAATCGGGCCCTTATTGTCTCCAGAATTATTGCTTGCACTCCTGGTTTTCCTCTACACCTATCCCGAAAAGCTACAATTTTCTAGTCTTTACAAATGGCTGCTTGCCGCCCCACTTCCAAGGATTCTTCCTCCTTCCCCTTTCTGGTGACCTTTCCTGGCTCTGAAGATGACGAACCTGCGGAAACGTCAGCTATTGACTATTAATAGATACCAACCACGTGTTTATTCATCAAGAAAGCAGTGCATTATTGATCAATGCCGAGGTTAAAAGAAAGCTACTCTTGAAACTTGACAAAGTGATCAGGATCGCACCAAGAAGCCCGTGTATCACAGATTCATCTTAGGCTACAATGCTATGCTTACATCTATTTTCTAAAATACCTAGAATTAAAGCACAAATCTAACGCGTTAAGACAACCTCCTGCAGATTTTCTTATTCGCAGTAAATGTAGCTCAGTGAGAGCGAAGGTTATCGTAATGTTATCTTGTTGCTCCTACTGTTATTCTATGGAGCGGATAGCACAGCGGTAGTGATGCCCGTCATCACGAATGTAGCGCTACTTCGATTCCGCTCCCACCTAGCCAAGCCCTTCATTACTCCGGAGTCGGGAAATTGGTACCGAACTTGTTTGGAGAAAAATCGCTTTCTGCAATCCAATTGGGAACGCTCCAGCTCGGCCATCTCAAGACTCCAGGCAGAATTGCTCTATCAGCATTCTACGACGTTCAAAATGAATTGAAAATCCTCAAGCAGAAACCGAAGCTACACATAAGCTTAGAAAGCCTTCGTGGGCATTGGAGACGAGAAACTGAAATAAATAATAAAGTTGCTATTTTCTGCCAAAGAGGGCTTGTGGCGCAGTGGTCGGGGTGCCCTGCAACACACGCTTGAAATCGATCTCGCGCCCATTGCCCACTAAGCTTTTCATCTTACTGGGGTTGGCATATTGGTATCAGACTTGTCTGGGAGGATAGTAGCATTGGCTCGCTACATTGGTAGGCCACTGCAAGTTATTGTAAAGGCCAGATATACATTCAATCACCTCCAACGATACTCAGTCGAATGCACGGCGCATCCCTCTGAGACTGATCAACGCCGAGAGTTTTATCCTTTTTTTATTTTCTGTCATGTGCCGTACTCTACGTTTCATCCTGTTCAGGTTTGGCGATGATCATCTCCTACGTTGCTTTTTGCGCCTTCAGCATCTTTTTGGAAACTAATGCGATCGTCTGTCCATTGCGAATATCGTCAGCTCTTTGTTAGCATCATTGTAAACCAAACAGATAAAACAATAAAACACTGGGTCTTTTTTTGTTTCGGTTCTTTTAGCATTTTTGAATGTATTTATGTGCTGTTTTTCTTCCAGTAGAGTGAATCGCTCAGCTGCATTTTTTATAGCATTTCCTGTTGTAAAGCACGATTTTGGAGTCATTTTCTCAATTGATGTAACATTTTTTTCTCATCGCCATGTAGTTTCATCGGCTTGTCTTAGAGATGTATGAGATTATTTAAAATTCTGTGAGGTTTCACGTTCACTGATGGTTATTCGAGCATAATGCGACTAATAAAAAAATATCTGTATAGTTAAAGTGCTTTTTCCAAGAACGTTAGGATAATTTCGAAGTTTCTCCGTTGCGCTTTGTATAGTTTTCAATAGAGACGGAACATATTATGTTATATTTTTGTTTGTCGCTTGTTATCAATTAATCTGAGATAACCCTAGCGTTCAATGTAAAGTTGTTTCCTTGTTTGTTTGTAATACATTCTATAATTTGTGTAGACCTCCTAACGGTTTACCACCTTATCGTGGCTGGGTGTTCCTCGGTGTCGGGCTGCGATGAACAGTGGGAGAACCATCCTCCGGCAGGGTGTCCCAGCTGAGAAGGAGTCTGGCGTTTCGATCAACAAGTCCAGCTAAGAGCAAACTAATTGCAGAATCCACCACCGTCTTAGTATCAAACTAATCCTATGGTGGGAAACTCCCTCTGATGCACAAGAGCGACGACTGCCAATGGTGATGGCGATCTGGGGCAAACTTTGGCCAGGCCGACCTTGGTGCTCCAAGGAGACACAATGGCTTAACCAGCAAAACTCCGTAAAATAAAGAATATGCTAGGACTCGCACAAGCAGCGAGGACAGGCCGCCCAGGTATCCAAATAATATGTAAAGTAACTGATGAAAGCAACTTTGCACTTTTCCTTTTCCTTCGTTTATTTTTATTCATGCAATAATCCGAAACTTGCCCTATAGTAAACGAAAAGTACGTAAACAAAAAAAAAGTAGGCGACTAAATTTTTCATTTTTAGGAACCACACATAAACTCTTCCATCCCTCCTTCCCCCTCAACCCATATGAACTCACTGCGAATAGTCTCATTTCGTAAGAAGTGATTGGTACAAGGTCACAAATTACCTTCTATTTGATCGAAATTCAGACCGAGTTTTTCTTGTATAATTTATGCTCTTATCTTTTGGGTGATTAGATTGATTCTTCCAAATTCTACTGTTGGTCAAAAATACACGGTAACCTATTGATATGTGATGAGCTTAGTGAAATGATGTTCTTGAAGCGAAAAACCTGTTGAAAATCTTACCTGTAAAAAGAAAAGTGATTGTTGCTTTAATTAGCAATTCCACTAGTAATGTAGCAATGGGAGGAGTATTAGCGCAGTTAACGGTCTAAACAATTGATAATGTACGGGGCCTTGCAATAACACGCTGCAATCTTGTTCAGATTAATCTCAAAATCCTGTTACTAAACATAACACAAGTCCGCGTTACCGTAACTCGTCCGCGAGTGCCGCGGGCTACTTTATTTCGCGTTTGTGGGCTTATTTGGCTTATGTCGGCAAAACTCTCACGTGGTTATTCCTATTTTGCGTCCACTTCGGTTTGCTTTCTCTTTCAGACCACCCACGGAGACCACCATCGAGAATGCGCTCTTGGGAAAATTTCGGAAGGTCTGACCCGCCCCACGTTCCAGCGCGCCTCCTGCCCCCGTCCCTCTGGGCCCGCCCCTCCCGCCCAAGTCGATCGCGACATGATTACTCAGCGTCTAATATAATTTTGAAAAACAGGCCTTAAATGAAGTTTTCAGGCAATTTTTTCCCACTCCCATCCTCTCCCCCTAACACATCTCTTTCAGAGTTCGTAATACAATTACACAATAACAAATGAGAAATACTTCACATCGTTGACTCTCACGTAGTGTAGGCTTTTCCTTGTTGTGATAAAGCTCTTACCAAATTGTAGGCTGTACCAGACATAGGTTTTGTGCTTAACTGGTTTTATTGGGAAAAAAGCAAAGCTCTTAAACTCTTTGGCTGATCCTGCATGAGAAATGACTCGGATTGCTTTTCGGCTTTGGCAACCGGGAACAGCTCTTTCCTGCGATAAGGCGATGACCATTAAGGTGTATTTAAAATAAACTTGTAAGCTTTTAAAAAGCTGTTAAAAACTAAAGCAGGAAAAGTACTGGAAAATCTTAGCAGCTTATTTAAATGCAGGTTTACGGTTTCAACATTGGACAACCAACAAGTCGACCACTAAATATTTTTATTGGCTGGATTCATCAATTTGTTAATATCAATCTTTTATTACTCATTAGTAAACATACAAATATTAAACACTGTATTTAAAGTTAGACAATAATGACATATACTCTGATATGAACGCTTATTGTCCGGGCATAGTGAAACGTTTCTCCGGTCGAAGTTGCAGTTCACACACCGCTTTGGTGAGCGAAAACGGTGCTGGATTTGCCGGTAATGGATGACGAATAGCCATCTCAAGTACATGTATTACGTGAACAGGAACTATGATGTTGTGTTTTACTGCCTTCTACATGAACGTACTTCTCGTAGAATTGAAGTCCATCTTCTTTTTTGGAATTTTCCGATCCGCAGACGCCTTCCTACAGCTGCCTTCTAAACTGGAAATCTCATAAGCGCTTACTAAATTAAGAATGACTTTCAAAGTAACGCTGAGATATTTGAAAAACCCAAACCCCAGTATGGATTCGAAATCACGATTACCCTGCCCAGTGCCCATGTGCTACCCGCTGTACCGTTAACGCTATTGCATTACGTTTCTCTCAGCCAGCTCGTTTAACCTGATGGTGCCATCAGCAATCACCAGTCAACCTGAATGAACTGGGGAGCAAAAATCGGCATTGAAACCAGCAAAGTTGAGACTGTAGTGGTCAAAATCGCAATGCGTGACTTTTTATTTATTACTATGCTTTATTGTTCTGCCGCAGAATATTGTGCGAAATACAGCTACGGTGATGCTGAAATGTTTTAAAAAGTAGGTGGCACCGTTAGAGTGAAAAACAAGGCCCTCAATGGTGCAATGGGTAACAGATGAGCCTCAATTAAGGGTTATCGTAGGTTAGAATCTGGCATGGGGTCTGGGTTTTGTAAATATCTCGGCATTAGTACGGTTGTGTTTCACATTATACTCTTCCAAGAAAAATAATAAACAGTAGATAAAAAGTAATACAAAGACTGATTTATAGAAATAAAACTAACAAACTGTTCATCTACTCAACTGCCATAACTGTAATCACTGTAAAGGCAAACATTTATCTTGAAATTTTAATCAACGATTCACTTTTCGGTGGTCGTTACATTAAAGGTATGCATCTATGTGAAATCAGACAGACCTAAGTTGAGGGTCTTACATTCTTCAGGAATGTCGTTTAACGACAGTCGTGTTTACTCTTCCCGGAGTGCTGAGACAGCGTAATACAGCCACAATGATGCCGAGATATTTGCAAAACTCCGGACCACAGGTGTCCTGTGATTTCATTATGATTTCAACTGCAGGCTCATTTTAACTGGGTTCAATGCCGTTGTGGGCTCCCAAACCATTCCCATTGATGGGTGATTGCTGATGGCACCGATCGATGGAAAAGTAGATAGGAGACAGGCGAAACGAAGAGACCCGCATGGTGTGGTGGTGAAAACGTTAGCCCCCGGAAAGGGTAACAGCATGCTCGTTCCCCAGCGAAGACACCTGCTGCTCGGAGTTTTGCAAATATCTCAGCATCGCTGTGATTGTATTTCGCACAATACACTGTCTTGAAAAGTTGTAGTAGGCAAATAAAGAGTAAACATTGTTGAGATAGCTTCTCCAGAGTTTTCCTAAGTTTTCACCACAAGCAGTAAGTAGGTCGACACTGCCCTTTGGCAAGTACGCTTTATTTAACCGCAGTCGCCAAATTGTTGCTGAACCTATTGGTTGCAAATGTTTTCTCCGATACCTCACGACGTGTTTTTCTAGTAGGATTTCAGCCGCTTTAGAGGAATAGGACCTAATTGGCGCACTCCTAAGTTATGTGCCACGAGCGGCCTATGTTATATTCTGCGAAAAAAAGAATCGAAATGCTAAAAAAGTATTAAGTTCAGGTGTATGAAGTACTAATGTATACAAAAGCTCCCTTTAAAATCGAACAGGCAATCATTCAGCAAATCGTGAGTATTCGTGAAAAGAGAACGTACTTTACACAGTTCTCAGGTCGATTTTAAACGTGGATTGTTCAATACTGGCGCTTTGGTTGGTTTAGCTTCAGTCAGCACTAACAAAAATACTCAAAGGCGGAACATGGATGAAAAGTGTAACATGCGACCTCTACTTTCGGTAGAAATACTGACAGGTAGTTTTCGTGTATATGGTTTCTCGTTATCAAAGTAGTTATGTGCATGCATAACCCATTCGTCATCCTCTGGTCTTGGTTTAGTAAACGCTTCTGAAATCATTTGCGATTTAGCCTCCTTGTTTACTTGAGAGTACTGTAAGAAGTAAGAAAATCATAAAATTATCTCTTCAAGTACTTAAAGGAACTAACCAAGCTTGTCTTTTTCTAGTGTCTCAATTAGTGTTGGCAATCCATACCACGTATCCATTGAGTTTAGAGATGACCGTGAACTTGTAGAACTTTTCTTAACTGAAATAGCGAATTGTCTTGAAATAAGCGATCTCACCCTAATCCGTTGGAGAAACCTGACTGTGTAATCACTTTTTATCTATCATTAATTGTTGTGATTATGTCAATAGCTCTATAAGACAGACACTTAAAATTGCTGACTACAAAAGTTTGAGAAGATTTTTAGCCAAATAGGTGATGGACACCTTCCGGTTCTTCCATATTTCCGCTATCCGTAGTGCTCTTCGCTTCCTTGTTAGGAAAACGAAACGGTGACGATTGGTCATCAAGTGGTGTTAATAGTTTTGATTGATTTGCTGTTGTCATCTCACTGGGG